AGTATTTTCGATTGACTGTTCAAATGCGGAGTTTTGCGCAGCGTGTGTGTGTGTGTGTGTGTGCGTGCGAGCGACAGAGCGCGAGAGAGAGAGAGAGAGATGTCAATAAAGCACTCTTAAATTGAGAGAGAGAGAGAAACATATTATCCATATGTTTTAATGTCATTCTTTCAATATTACTTGTTCATATGTTATTTAAAATTGCTATATTGTTCCAAATTACACTGTTGTATGTTCTCTTTTCCTATGCATGCTTTGGCAATGCAAAACGTGCTTTTGTCATGCCAATAAAGCTAATTGAATTGAATTGAATTGAGAGAGAGAGAGTGTGTGTGTGTGTGAGAGAGAGAGAGAGTGTGTTTACGTTTTGTGCTTGTAAATGTTACGTATTAATAGCTACGTATAAACATGAGACCAGGCTGCAGTGTCACAATATACATTCATTAACTAATCATCACAACCTACAACTTAAACTACAAGACTACATCATGATGTGTTTATATGATATATATGTTGAAGCGTGTTCATACTTACTTAAACACCTAATATTCCCTCTCCATTCTCCTTGCACACAGGTCAAGTGTCTGGAGAAAGGTGGATGCAGATCCAATGTGTATTTATTAAAGCAGCTGTATTCAACTCTCTCCCCTGTATTGTATTCCTTTTTTGTTATTTCTATTGTATCTGCATCATTCACACCTGGTGGTGGTCCACATTTCTCTGAGACTGTCATCAAGAAAATGTGGCATTAGTAAAATTTAATATTAGTCAGATTACCTTTTTTTTTCCTGCAGAATTGGACCAAGTCAAGAGAATATTGCATGCTGATTTATGTGCCAATTGGCGCACATATTATAATATGAGCAAAAGTGATGCTTGTGTTGCATTGTCTTTCCAGAATTTCATTGTATGGCTCAATGCACTTGTTTCTCAGAATTTCTTTGTTGTTGTACAAATAGGTCTCATTTAACAGCATCAATAAATTCTCATTTGATTTGTGACATTCTGCTAATAGAACAAGTGCAAAATGTACAAATGTACAAATGTATTGACTATGTAAAATGTGCCAAAAATTATGAAAATTAAGAAAATATATGTGAGACTGAGTGGATTCAGATTCATTCTTTTAAATTTAGCTTACTAATATCTTTGGATAAATTCAGGTTTGTTCATACTTCAGGTTTGTTCATCATAAAGTAGCATCATCTCTATTTTTGCAAAATTTGTAACATTTAATAGCAGAAACATACCTGTGCATTGCTGACGTAAGCCTGTCCACTGGCCCTGGTAATCACAGGTGATTTGTACAGGCTCCTCTGGTTCAAATCCAGGATGACATTTATATTCTATTCTTGAATTGATTCCGTATTTTTGTCTCTGACCTCGAACAATCTCTGCATTTGGGATGTTAGGTGCTGCACACATTTCTGTAAAACATCCATTATACTAATTACAAGTCATCAATGCACAGATACATAATAATTTGATAGGATACTGCAAAAATGATTGTTTCACAACATTCAATGGAATTAGAGGCAACATGTCAATAAACTGTACCATACCAAATCAACAATCTTAAAATTGATATTATGTTAGTAGCAAAGATTTTAATACTCCACAGCAGAACATACCAGCACACAGTGGTTTTGGTGTCCATCCGTCTCGTGTGCATGTGGCCTCTTCTGCCATTTTACGATATCCAGAGTCACATCGGTACGATTTTATTGTTCCCAGTTTCTTATCTCCACTGAAGTAATAGTATGGGTAATGCACATGCTGGTCATATGGAGTTTCACATGTAATCTCTGAAACAAGATTCACATGCTTTTAATAACATGCAATAAATTCATCACCAAATCCAGAAATGTTCCTCTATAATTTTACATGCACAAACAGGCTCATAGTCCCACTCTCCATTATCTTTGCATGTAAATGATCTGCTCGTTACTTTTGTACCAAAGAACCAGTGTTTTTCAGAGCAGGTGATCTCCACACTTTCTCCAGCTCTGAAAATAGTCTTTCCCTCTGGCTTGATCTGTTTTACTCCAAATGTGGTTGACTTAAGCTCACAGGTTACTGCTGCACAAGACATAATTATGTTGTATTTAAGTGTTAACACAGGCCAATTATGTGTGAAGGTTTTTGGTTTTAAGATGTTTGCACAGTGTTTAGATAAACACATTTTATTTGAAGTGAACCAACTAAAATGTGTTTTCTGTTATTTAAAAAAAAATCTGAATTTCTTTTTCTGTTTTTTTTCTTTCTTTTTTTCTGAATAGCATCAGAACTGTTTGTTACCTCTTGATTTCTTAATTCTGAGGACATAACATCACCCTTTAAGAACAAGTAAGTCTGAAGGATAAAAAAAAATCTACTATTAATTTAACTAAATCTGGTGTCTTATGGGAAGGAGTGTATAGCACAATGGCACTAAAATACTAAATTGATTTTAATTCTAGAGAGCATTTGATTGGACCAAAAATTGTACAGCACAGAATGAGTCATCAGTATTTTTGCTGTTTTCCCAGAATTGTATTGTATTCCCTGTATCGTATTCATTTTTTATTTTGTATCTACATTCTCATGGTTAATGTTTGGTGTTGGGCCACATTTTATTTTTAGACTGTTGTCACCAAGGAAATGTGGCATTAACAAATCTCAGTATTAGCCAGATGTCTTTTTTATGCTGCT